ATGCCTTCTTTCATGTCCTGAACCGAAATACAAGAAATATGAGTCCAAATAAGCACTAATTCAGTATAAAAGACTGAATATTTGGGGATAAAAATATGATAATTTTTATTCTCATAAGTGGGTACTACTTTCAATTGAAAAATTATTGACTAAAAGTAGTTGTTATTCAAATTTAAATTAAGTAATTTATTTAATTAAGATTTGAGAGTTAAGAGCATCAATCCACCACTTTTTAATTATGACTTTTGGGTTTTACTTTTTACTTGATGGGAGATGTAAGACGTGTTAGTTGAGGTGACAATAAGTGGGGAAGAGAAGAGGTGTCAGACGTGAGAAAGAATACTGGTCATGGGAAAAGTTAAATTTTTTTGGAATATCTACCACAAACCCCACATTTGGCATCCCATGTTTTTCTTATGTAATATATCAATCGGTTCTCGGTTTACATAGATATATATCCACAACCGAACCGATTTGTCGTTTTTTAGTATTTACTAAACCGAAACCAACCAACTCTTTTTTAAAACTGATTATTTCGGGTTGAGTTGGTTCAGTTTGGTCAGTTCATAAAATTACATGAACAGCCCTAGTGGCTAGTCCTACCAGAACCAGGAAAAACAAAAATTATAGAATTGCCGCTATCATAGGAAAACTCAATAACTCCTAACTGACTTTGAAATTTTAAACACAAACTACAAGGCTAGTTCCTACAAAAAACATGTAAAATGATCAAAATAGCCTATATATAATAGTCATGCATGACCTATCTTTCGCTTTCTTCAATGTAAATATGCCCTCTGTCTCATTACTATTATTAATATCTGCGGAGCAAGAGCCTCAGTTGCGAGATTGGATCAGTTCCTCTTTCGTCCGTGATGTAAAGGTTCATAATCCTTAGTCTGCAAGGAGCTCGGAGCTGGAGTCAGATTTGGAGACAGAAAGTTCCTGGTCAGACGTGTCTTCTACACTGTCAGTTCTGCCGGTCGGAAATAGGAAGTCCAAACTATTGAGAGATTGTTATGATCTACCGGTTGTTACCCCTCCTCCTCGTGGAGCCCGTTGCATCAGGGGAAGGGGTAGAAGAGGTAGAGGAAGAAATAGCTTGGGCTGTTAATTGAGTGTTTGTATGCTCTTTCTTTATTCGGAGGTCTATTAGGCTGGGAGTTTTTAGGCTAGGCTGAGGATTTTGGTTTCAGATCTCCTCGTTGGTGCTTATCGTGTTGTTTTGTGGCCCTTGAGCTCTGGGCTCGGGTTGTAGCTGGTTCATTTTGGGCTTCTTTGGGGTTTTGTTTTTTGTAAACCTCTTGTATATTTTTCTTTCTTTTTGAATAAATTTTACCTTACCATTTTCCAAAAAAAAATTTTTTTGCGTTCCTTATGCTATGAATGTAACATAATGGTTAAAACAATTAAAGGTAAGTGAACAATTGACTTAATCACAAGGTGCCATTGCTTGGTGTAATGATAAAAACTTGGACTGAAAAGCATGAGAAGACAGGTTTGAGTTCGAAGGTGGCCACTTTCTACAAAAATGCTGGAGGTTAGAACTATAACCAGCTTTGGTAAATAGCCCTTTTGACTTGATCATAGTTGGATGGTAAACCAGGCAAGAAGAACGGAGAAATTTAGCGATTTCATCATTGACAGTGCCATT